GTGACAACCTTTTTCAGGAAAGAGAAATGGAAGTATCTATGAATGTAAAATATATATACATTTTGAATCAGAAACCTAGAATTTAGGAATTTATTCCAGAGATAAAAGCATAAGTACATAAGTATATATGGGCATTACATTGTTAATAGTGGCAAAAAATAGAAACAAACTAAACATTTAATAATATTTCATAAGCTGTTAAAAAATGACTTAGCTCATTTCAAATCAAAGGGAAGGGAAGTAATGAAATAGGAGCTTGACTGAGAAAGCAGCATCTACAGAGGATGTTTTGAGGATGGAGGAAATATGCCCATGTTTATAGGCCAAGGGGAAGAGACACTTTAGAGGGAGGGATTAGACACCCTTAAGAGCGAGTCTAGGAAGAGGACAGAATAAGAACTGGTGGAGTTAGGCTTGGAAATTAAGTGAGGACTTTCATGTTCTAAGAGGGGGACAGAGAGAATTAAAGAAGATGAAAAGATACTTTTTCATGGTAAGAAGTTTGAGCCTCCATCCAGGGGTGATGTATAAAATATTTAACAACCAGCACACACTTGCACCATGCACTGAAGCAAGATCCCCAGATGCCTCCTCAGTTCTGTGTTAACTCTTTCGTTGCTGCCCATAGCGAGGCCTCAGGGTAGGGCCACCATGCAGCAGGGTGGGGCCACAAAACTGTAGAGCTGAAGCAACATCTTTTAGAACTTTAAGAGACTGAGGGAAAATTATCTAAATTCCTCAAAAATAGTCACTTATGACAAAAACAGTTATCACACTATAAAATGATTAATGTTTAGCTCTCTGATTCAGGAGATTCTTAAAAATCAAGTAAATAATGGGTGCCTTCCACAAATGTAATGCACGTTGACAAAGGTCTAAAAGGAGGGGACTGATTACATCCAACTGTTGTTACTTTTTGGCTTATTCATTTGCAGCAAACAATAGTTTCTTAGTTCAAATAAGGAGAATGGGGTTACTGTGAATTTCAGAACGCAGAATCTGGTGTTTATACAAGGTTCTCACTCTGAGCACCAGCCACAGACCTTTGCAGTTGTTCTGCTGGTGCAGGAGAGCAAGATGACAATACCAGCACTCAGGAGAATACAGGCAAGCGCCTGGGGAGTCCCAGATCACAGTCACCAAGAACAGAACATGGAAACCGTCACCAAGGTGTTCATAGCAACCTCAGCCTCTAAAGAAAGGCACCCTGTACTTATTAGTCCACATTTTGGAATTATTTTTCCCTTGTCACTCCAAAAACTGTGGTTCTCTAGCACCAGATCTGCTAGTCTGAGGGTCTCTGGCCCAGTGAAGCGAACTCTAAAGAAGTAATGTAGGTCCTTGATCTAGGACAAACTGTATGTGGCTGTAGTTTTCAAAATACAGAATTTTCTGACTGAAAGAAACCTTTTATCTAATCCCAGCCCTTTAGAGAGGAGAAAACCTCGGCAACCAAGTATTTAATGAAGATTAGACCAACATTTAGATCCACGTGGATCATTTAATCCAGTATCCTTACTTCTAACTGACTTGACGGAAAGCTTAAATTATAATTTATATTCATATGAGGGAATTTCTTGACACATATCACTTATTTGTAATTCAGGTAAGATGTCAGAATGAGACATTCTCAGAGGTTTTAAGGTATAATATGGAATACATTATATCTGAAGATATTGCTGATATATTGACCCAGCGGGACTCATGGTATAGTCAGAAAACAGCCTTGTTCTCTCCATTATGCCAGTTCACACCTGCTCTGTGGGGCAAGCTGTTTTCCTGCCCCTTAAATGAATTAATGCATAGGCCCTATGACTTTGTGGGTCACTCTCAAATAATAAAAAAGGTCTCTGGTTATTTTTTACTCAAAAACACAATCTTGTTTCAGTAATTAATATTTTTTAAACAGTGTAATAATAAAAAACTCTTCAGTGGCAAAGGGGGGGAATGGAAGACTTCCTGTGTGTTTTCCCCTCCTGGCTGCCCAGCTCCCCCAGGGTTAGCATGCGGTGGGGAGCTCAGGAAAGGCATTGGGGGCTCCAGCCGGCAGCGCTTCCTCTGGCCGTGACAGCTCTCTCCAGCTGGCACTTCTCTCATGGGCACTGGCGCAGGTCTGTCAGAACCACCCTCACCACCACCACCCTGCAAGGGAATCTCCCCCTGTACATTTCCTGGCACAGGCACGTTCATTTTGTCTCTGACTGGCTGCCTTAGATTCTGCCCCAGATCCCCGGACACCCAGAGACAAACCTCTGGCTTCTTCTGTCTGGGTGTCTGCCGTTCTAAGCAGTCCTCTTGGGTAGGATCAAAGTCAAGCCCACACCATCTGTCTCACTCTCTTAGCTGTGTCTTCCGAGGGCCTAAATTACTTCCCCCATCATGGTCCCTACCCTGTGTTCAGGCCACTTTTGCCAGTTCTGGCCCTTTAGATTTCTCAAGCATGAGCCAGGCAGTCTGGGGTGTTCCCCAAACTGCAGGCGACATATCCCAAGCTTTCTGAGAGTCAGCCTGAAGTCTCTCATCAGACTTAAGGTAAGAGAAAAGCCCCCTCCCTTCACCCTCCCTGGCAGGTGCAAAGGAGGGACCTCCTAGAACACTGTAGCTTTGCAGAAACCTGTCAACACTTTCACACCTGAAAGGGTAAGGGAATACTCCTTTGCAAGTCTTACATGGTGGTCTTGAAGCTTCCCTGGAAGGTGAGAGTGGTTCATAGCTATTATCTGAGGCCTCTGTCAAAATGAAAATAAAATAATAGCTCTTAACATCCTGTTATCAAATGTATTCTCATTCTCTTTCTAATTACCCCTATAAGGTTTTCTTTAACAGGTAAATGTTGGTAAAAATCAAATGCCATTTCAACAAACTTTGTATGGTGGTATTGTTTACCAGAGATTAATTAAATTATCAGTGGTTGGAGAAGTGTTGGTAATTACTTGGTTATACAGAGTTTATTATATGGAGATTCACTGCAGTTTGACCAGCAGTAGGGACTCTCAGAATCCTGAGAGTGTTATTTATGAGTTGTGCTTCTCAAGTCTGTTTCCCAACTGAATAAGGGAAGTTATTAAATCGTAAACAACAAATTGGCAGACCAAGAGAAAGGAAGTAAGTACACATATAGAATTTCTTTGTAATTCTCAATGTTCTGTATTGGTTTCAGTTAGATAACTGAATATAAAATAGTTCACTTACATCAGAAAAACCGTCATCGTTACACCAGTGCTGTTTGTGGGTGAGATCTGCAGAGGGGGTGGAGCTACATGGTGTCAACCTCATGGGGCCTCACTGTGGTCCTGTGGAATGATCAGTCCCTGTATACTGGCCTCCATGCTTCCCCACAAAGTGGGGCTTCCCCTGTGGCTGGCATCTATCACCAGGTCTTAAAATCTGTTTGTTCTGGACTTGGCCCTTTCCTCAAAACCTGAAGTATTTTGGAACCCTGGCAGTAGATCATCTAAGAATACAGGATGAACCTTTAGATAAATTTTTTTTAAGACAACCAGTTCTAGGATGGCATTTCAATCTTTCACTAATACATGATTTAAAATATCTAAGATCATCTTGAGTATATAGTGAACAAATTTAATGGGTGGGATACCAAGACCCAAGAAAGTAAGATTAAAGCATAGATAAACTTACGGTTTTTTGTCTTCCGTTCTCCTGAAGCTTCCCTAGAACTCTCAGGACATGACTGGAATGTGCGTATAGCAACCAACTCTTCTTCATGGCCAGTGTTTTATCATAATACTCCAGCTGCCATTACCACTGTCGGGAATATAATTTATTTCACTCTTTCCATTTATTTGGATGAACTTTTACAGATGAAGGTGGCAGTGATAGTGCTGCTGACAAATGGCACAGAGCCTGCTATCCTCACACATTCAAGTTGGTTTCTGAAGCAAAAGTCAGCCTGGCTATAAATGAAAATGTGAATATTCTAATAAATTCAACAATGCCAGGGTTCTCAATCCTTCCATAGAGAAAAGGAAAAGTAAGGACACTTTACAAATCAGGGGCCCTTTTTCCAAGAAAGGCAGTGACTTACTCATGGCCAGATCAGAATCACCTGTGACTCTGTAAAAATACCCATGTCGGGGTGCACCTCTCCTCTCACCTTACCCCCAATGCTGAGTGGGGGTCTGACTCAGGAGTTCTGAGGTGGACCCAGACATATATATATATTTATATATTAAAGCCCCCTCTGGTGATTCTGATGTGCAGACAGAGTTGAATGGGACCGCTGATTATTTGGATGGATCGAGAAATTTTTAAAGAGTCGATTGGAAGAAGGTCTAGCTAGAGGGCCCCTTCAGCCATCACAGAAGTGAACGGCATTGAGGGGATGGAGTGCAGGGGTGGTCAACACCTCAGACCTGGGGTTCCTTCATGAACTGACCTCAAGCTATCCTTAACTTTGAGGGAGTCCCAGATCACTCTGGGAATCTGATGAGAACTACAGTTACTGTCCTCAGAAAAAACATGTAGACTCTAACTCCCCTACCCCCCAGAATTTAGCACATACTTTCACGGGATTCTAGATTAGAATAAAGTTTTTGTTTTTGCTGTTTCAACCAGGTGGATAACAGTCCCATTCGTTGTGGTGAGGAAAACAGAAGCGACCAAGCCCCTAGCCTCAAGAAGTTCACAGTCCAGTAGCCAGAAGAAAACAGGAACAAACCAGTATACACATAAGTAGGGAATAATCACCAGATCTGTGGGGGAAAGGAGAGTTCTGGAATGTTGAATTGGAGAATTTGAACCGTGTGCTTTGAGAGACAATAGATTAAAAGAGACAGTTGTGGTACAGAGCCCCCACCCCCCAAAAGAATGGAAGTCAGCCTAAGGAGGTCCTACTGCGGAAGCCCCCAAAAGGCTGCGACTGGAATTGAAGTTAATGGTGAACGTGTGATAAGAGTGTCATTGATCCACTCTACTGCTAGAGGTCATTGTCATTGTGCTACTGGTAGGTCGAGGTCTGGGATGGGGGAAGCTATTAAAACGCCAATGAATACAGTTTTATAACATACTGAGGGGACACCGGGAAGAAGAGGGCAAACTGACGCTCGCGGCCTTGGAGTCCGCTGTCCATTGACAGGGTCAGAAGTTGGCCCTGTGTTTGGTCTTTACGATGAAAGAAAACCGCGGGAGAGCGCTGAGTGGCGGAGAACTACATTCAGCCAGTGGGCATGAAAATGAATTTTAGCTGCTATGTGCGAAAACCCTAGGTGTGCGGACAGAAGGGAGCCAGCCAGAAGGTGACAACAGGTCAGGAATAAATAACCACCGGGCGGAAGATCCCAGATTCAGTCCTTCCTTTTGTTGGGTGAGGAGCGCCAGGCAAACGCGTCCACAAAGGCTTTGGAAAGAAGCGGTTCGACCGTCCACAGTTGGCGCCAGCCGCGGTAACTATCAGGGGCCCCGATGGGCGGGAGAGCCGGAAGCCCGGGGGGCTCAGCTCTCGCTGGGAGGCCTCGCCGCGGCAACCCCAGAATAAGTCGGGGGCGGGCGCGGCGCGGGGGGAGGGGGCCGGGCGCGCGGGCGAGCAGATCCCACCCCTTCCTGAAGGAAGCGCCCTCCTCGCCGAGACTGCCGCCGCCGCTGCTGCCGCCGCCGCCGCAGGTCCCGGCCCCGCGAGGCGCCCGCGGCCCTGCCGCACCCGAGCAGGTAGGCGCGGCGCTCGTGGCGCCCCCTCCTCCTCCCGCGCCCGCCGGGCAGCCAGGGGGCGTCGGGCCCTGCTCCGCGCCCAGCCCGGAGGCGGAGACCAGGGGCGGTGCGCGCTGCAGCGGGGCTCCGGCAGCGGGGTACTCCCGGCCACGGGGCCCTGCTCCGCCCCGACCCCTCCCCCGAGCGCCCCGGTGCGCAGCGGCCCGCCCGACCCCCGCGGGCGCGCCCCGCGAACGCGGCGCCGGCGGTGTGCCGGGTCCCGGCCGGCTCTCCCGCGCCCCGAGCGCCCAGTCGGCGCGCCTCCGTCCCCGCCGCAGCCGCAGTGCCGTCCGCCGAGCCTCTGCGCCGCCCGCCGGCTGTGGCTCGGGTCCCGTCCTTTGACAGGTGTTCCCACCCTCCGCCCGATCCGAATACCCAGGGTTTTTATTGAGGGGTGGATGCCGGTCGGAAGCGACCCCAAGTTTGGCTTCCCGGTCTCTGCCATCCGTCGTTCGCTTTACCGTTAGCCCAGTCAGGCTGGCTCGGGAGGCTGGGGTCGGGAGGCAGGCAAGAACTTGCCGTGCCCCGTGCGCCCGCCCTCCACTCTAAATGCAGTCTCGCTTTCCATTCCCAGCTGCACACTTGGAAAGAAACGGGATTTTCAGTTTCTCTGTGGAGGCAGCGGGCGGGTTACCAAGGCTATTTGGTCATCCATTGCAATAAAGTGATTAGCTCTGGGTTATGGAGAAAGCCCTTGTTCAGCGGTTTTGTCTAACTTAAATCGAGAATGGGGTTTTCTCCAATGTTAAATTCCTATTTCTTTTCTCTCTACCCATCCCTCATCTACGTCCACTCCTAATTCCACAGCATTTTATTATCCTAAACACTTAACTGATATTTTTGGTCAGGTTTATTCTGGCCAGACGGTCTTTCCCGGCTGAGCTAGGACTGTGACTACAAACGTGAGAACATAACGCAGTTGGGATGGAAGCCTCTCTCCTGCAGTGAACCTATTCCGACTTCCTACATGCGAGGTCCTGTTAGGGAACCAAATGCACTAATGATATATTTAAAAAAAAAAGTTCTTGGATCTATTACAATAACAAAGCCAAACGGTAATAATAGTTTCTGCTTTTTTATTTCCCTGCTTGAATCAAAAGTAGGTTTTTAATAATGCAGGGCTGTAACTCCATTCTGGGCTGCAGTTAGTTCATCCAAAGCAGAGGCGATGTATAAACCCCATTGTAGCAGTTAAAAAGTTGACCTACTTCAAGTTTTCAAGGAAAAAATGTTAGGCTTATATACGTGATATTTGCAGATAAAGAATTTCACAGTCTCAGCTCGCATGCGTTAAAGCCCAGACATTTTTTTCTATGTGTCGTAGAGACACCATGTTTCCAAGATTGGCTGGAGCTCTTATCTCTTAATGAGCTAGAAATGTGAGTTTAATCTTCAAGACATAATCATAGGAATTTTAATGGTGGGTTCTTTATTTATACATTATTGAATAAATGTTTTGCAAGCTCCCAAGTTGGAAGCTCAAAAACTGGACATGGTAAATAAAAGGATAAAAAGAAGCTTTGCTGACAGTGACTACTTAGTAGATGTTATGACATTGAACAAACATATTAAAGTGTTTGGAAAATGCATGTTTATTATAATCCACCATTAGCTGAAGGCAATCTGGATTATTTAAACTGACATTAAAGTGTCTTCATAGAAATTGCTTAATTCAATATTTCTCATAAAATGCCTTTCACAGGTTGCTTTGTGGGGGCAGTAGTTTGCTCTGTGGAATAATTTTTTGGCTTATGTTTTAGGCTTTGTAGTAGTACTACGACAATCCTGCTTACAACAACCTTGCAGATTTTTTGTGCTTACCTTACCTGCTTCGTGATCATCCAGAGGAACAGCACTTTGCTTTACACTGTGTGTGTGCCCGCTTTGTTTTCCCTGGGCCCTAAGCACACCACCACTGCACAGTGGCGAATGAGCAGGGCATTCTGTTGTCATGAAAGAGGGAAAACTCGCTGGCCTCTGCAGTCTTAGCCATTGGTTGCTCTATAATCTGGCCACTAGGGATCATTTCAGTAACCAATTAAGCAAGATAGACACTGACAACATAATGTATCACCTCTCAGTCTTCCCCTTCACCAGAAGAATCTGCAGCCCTCCAAGTCCACACTACAGTGGTGATTAGGATCTGTGAGGCTCAAATGAGATGTGTAATAATTTTCTCAAAATGCGATGCAAAGACCAAGTGTTACTGAATCTGGGTCTAAGTTCATGAAAAGGCTAGGAATAGACCCAGGTGGGAAATAAAGAGTTTCCGTATCCTAAGGGTAACAAAAGAACTGCATCCTCACTTATTTTAACTGTAAGTTTTCTTCCTGAATCTGATGGTACCACATAGCTATGTTTTTTTCATAAGTTGCTCTCAGCACTTTCAAACTAGCTCATAACTTTAACAATGTATTGTTATCACCAAATATAATTTCTTGGCATGTTTGTATTTTGAAAGATAACTTGTGGTAATGGTACTTGAGATGATAATGGAGTTTGGGGGACAACAGCCTTCAAACATATTGTCCCCACATATTGTCAATATTCTACATCAAGCCAGCTCTGCTAGGCAGGGCATGAACTCTTGCCAAGTGAGAAGTGAACAGTTTTCTTCTAGCATCTGTAAATGGCCTTTCTGTAGATCAATGCAGTCCAGTAAAACTTTCTGCAGTGGTGGAAATATTCTATAATCTGTCCAATGTAATAGCCATGAACCATGGCTATTGAGAACTCGAAATGTATCTAGTGCAACTGAGGAACTGAATTTTAATTTTAATTTAATTCTAATTAATATAAATAGCCACATGGGGCTAGTGGCTACCATACTAGACAGTGCAGCTATGAATTCCTTCCATCTGTTCCCTGCAGAGATAACATTTAATGGCAATTATCCCTTAAGTTAGAAAAAAGTGGAAATTGGCATTCTTAAAACCAGGAATTAAGGTTTGACTCTGTAATCCTGTTGTTACACAACACATGTGTATTTACTCTGAAGAGGGTGTTTTATGCTGAAGTTCAATTCTAGTCTAACAGTAAACAGTTTCCCGTTTTAGTGTAAACATGTCTACTGGCCACAAAAATAAGTGTCACCCAGGGTTATTTAGGTGTTTGGCTCCATGTATCTGTGTTCTTGAGCTTGGTTGAATTGAATTTGCTCTCAATGAATTATAGAAACATTTATTCTTAAAGGTGGTTTCCGCACTTCTTGATTGTTCAAGGGGAGGGAGATTTGGAGAGGTAGGAAGTTGATGGTGAGCACAGCCTTTCCCCTCTCCCTCTCCCGCAGTCGCAGAGACCCTGTGAAGTCTGATGACTGGGTACCCCGGCTGCACGGTGCTGAAGCCTCTGGGCCCTCCTGGTCTGCTTTCTTTCCCTCCGGCTTCCAACCCATATCCTCCCACTCAGCCCAGCCCCTAGGGATGAAATCCACCTAAAAAATAACCTACCATTATTTTGGTAAAACCATTAAAATGGGATTTTACTTATCATTTACCATGTTTCAATTTTTAAACTAATCTGTTTGATTAAAAGCATTATTTTGACCATTGAGAAGGACACATTTCTAATCAGACTTTTCCATAAGACATCGACTCTCATATTTTCTGAGTGGCTATCCCTCACCCTACCTCAGTACCTAGGATACTCTCCTGAGGCTAAAGCTCAGGGTCCTGGGGGTCCCCCTTCTCTTGTGGGGCTCTCCCTTTATCAGTTATTTAGAAATTTGTCAAATGTGTTTTTTTGCATACTAAAATATAAATTAAATTCACCCCCAAATTGTCTCTGCCCTGAAGGTGTTAACACCCTACCATGACATTTCCCAAATTAGTGTCTATCCTACAACGGGAATGGGGATAGTTAGATAAATTTAGGAACTCTTCCATATAATCCTTTTTTTGGTGTGGGTGGGAGGGAGATTGACAGTATATGACAGTGTGGTAAAGCCTCTAAGATGAGATACATATATTTATTTAACTTTTTTATTATTAATGTTTTCCAAATAATTTCTCACACAACACTTACAGTATTTTTCAAGCTACATGTCATGGATTATGAAACCAATTTAGCAAGTTAGGATCAGTATTTTTTTTAATGAAATGGAATATATAACAATCGAAATTATCATTGTGCATCTCTCTTAGTGAAGGTTACTAGTGTTTGATAAAAGCTGTTTGGTTCTCCCATGCGTAGCACATACAAGGCCACAGGAGAGTGGTGATTAAGAGCACTGCAGAAACAGGACCTCTGGCTTCAAATCTTGGCTCTACACCACCCAGCCATATAGAGTAAGCACTACATAAGCATGGCCATTATTTATATAATTACCATATATATGCATGTGTATATACTGGGTCATGCTGCAAAATACTGCCTGTAGAACTAGGCTTGGGGCCCGCTTTGGGAAACATTGATCTAAAATATAATGTAATAGCTAATAATAACAAGCAACATTACTGAACATTTATCAAAAGCTCTGCTGAATGCTTTACATGTATTTTCTTGTTTGTTTCTCACAACAGAGGTGTTGCCATGATCCCATAGTACCTACATTCCATTGAATCACAGAGGCAGAATCTGAACCCCGTACAGTCTGCTGACAGAACCCATGAGTTCAACCACCTGTTCTCCCATATTGCAATGCCATAGTGATACATAAGTGGACATCTACAGACCTGTGAGACTTAAACTGCACAGCATT